CCTGGGGGACTTCAACGCCCATGTGGGAAATGTCAGTGACACTTGGGTGATTGGGAAGAACGGCCCGCCCGGTCTTAATCCGAGCGGTGTTCAGTTGTTGGACTGACACCAGTGCACGTGGCACCAGGACACCCTAGGCCGGAAGTTGATGATCGACTTTGTTGTCGTATCATCTGACCTTCGACCGCGTGTCTCGGACACTTGGGTGAAGAGAGGTGCGGAGCTGTCACCTGGTCGTGAGTTGGATCCGCTGGCAGGGGAGGAAGCCGGTCGGACCTGGCAGGCCCAAGCGTGTAGTGAGGGTTTGCTGGGAACGTCTCGCTGAGCCCCCTGTCAGACGGACTTTCAACTCACACCTCCGGGAGAGCTTCTCCCTGGTCCCGGCGGAGGAGGGGGACATTGTTCTCTTCCTCTATCGCCGGTGCGGCGGCTCGTAGCTGTGGTCGCAGGGTCTCTGGTGCTGGTCCCGGCGGCAATCCCCGAACCCGGTGGTGGACACCGGTAGTAAGGGATGCCGTCAGGCTGAAGAAGGAGTCCTATCGAGCAATGATGGTTCATGGGACTCCTGAGGCAGCTGTCCAGTATCGGCAGGCAAAGCGCGCCACGGCCCGGGCTTTTGCAGAGGCAAAACCCGAGACTGGGAGGAGTTCGGAGAGTCCATGGAGCATGACTATCGGTCGGCCTTGAAGAGATTCTGGCAAACCGTCCGGCGCCTCAGGAGGGGGAAGCAGTTCTTTGCCAACACTGTGTACGGTGCGGGTGGAGGGTTGCTGACCTCAACTGGGGATATCCAGTTCCCGGGGATGCCTCCACCCCGGAGGCAGAGGCTGAGGATGTTGGGGCGGATACTTCCATCTCCCTGGCAGAGGTCACCGAGGTGGTTGGCAGCCTCCATGGTGGCAAGGCGCCGGGAGTGGATGAGATCCGTCCTGACTATCTAAAGTCTCTGGATCAGGGGTCACCAACCTTTTTGAAACCAAGAGCTACTTCTCCGGTACTGATTAATGCGAAGGGCTACCAGTTTGTTACACAATTACATAAATTGCCAGAAAAAGCCAATTTGCTCAATTTACTTTTAACTCTGTTCATATTAATAATTAATGATATTTATCTTTGTGGAAACACTGATCATCTTAACGATTTCTCACAATAAATATATATAGAAACAGATAAATATCAATATGCAACATTTTTCAAATTGAACATTTTCAAACGATCACTTCTTGTGAAATCACAATATCCCATTTTAACCAACTAGCCACTAACATTTTTTAACAAATCATGAATAACTTTGCACCATGTTTATACAAATAATAACTCATGTAAAATACAAAAGTCAACTCTCGTCACACGTGATGGTGATCTCACAGGAGTTTAGAAACCAAAGCAGTCCCATTTACGCTGCTACTTTCTCCTCTTCAGAACAAAAACAACAGTGAAGCTGTTTGAGATCATTACATGTGTTTCTACTGTAGGTTTTTGTGACAGTTCTAAACTCATCGTTTCAACTCATTTAACTCTGATGTTGTGAATAAAGACACAGTTCTTGTTGGAAACATAGTTATTATTAAAGTGTATTCAGCACAAACAGATAATCAATAAGTGGTAAATATCTGAGAAAAACACGAACTATAAGTGCAGTAGGAATGCAACAGACGCGATAAGCTACAACGCAAACAAGACAGGAACAGTGCAAAAGAAACAACTGCACAGTTTATAAGTTATATCAGGCTCTGCCATGAGACCAAACTACTTTTCCTTCGGTTCCTTCGAAGCACAAAGCGGTCTGCTCCGAAGTGCCTCGTCCGTGCTCCCTGCAGCCGCTCCATGCTTCCGTCCAAAACACACACACGAACCAATCACAGCGGAGCTCCTCTCACACACGGACCAATCACAGCGGAGCTTGTCTGCGGCGTTGGCCGCGTAGTATTCGAGGGTGCGTGGCAGGCTACGTAAGGGCCTTCATGTGATCCACGCGTTGCGCAAGTGACGTCACGTCACCTCCGTAAGCTCCGCGCAGCGCACTAGGCTTGAGTGCTACTATTTGAGCTATTTTTAGAACAGGCCAGCGGGCGACTCATCTGGTCCTTACGGGCGACCTGGTGCCCGCGGGCACCGCGTTGGTGACCCCTGCTCTGGATGTTGTAGGACTGTCTTGGCTGACACGTCTCTGCAACATCGCGTGACGGTTGGGGGCGGTGCCTATGGAGTGGCAGACCGGGGTTGTGGTCTCTCTACAAGAAGGGGGACCGGAGGGTGTGTTCCAATTATCGTGGGATCACACTCCTCATGACCGGAGCCAGAGCTGTGTTCGCATTGCCGGCAGTAAGTCAGACCTGTTCCCGGTGCATGTTGGCCTCCGCCAGGGCTGCCCTTTGTCACCGTTTCTGTTCACTGTGTTCATGGACAGAATTTCTAGGCGCAGCCAGGGGTCGGAGGGGGTCCGGTTTGGGGACCACAGGATTTCATCTCTGATGTTTGCGGATGATGTCGTCCTGTTGGCTCCAACGAACCAGGACCTGCAACATGCACTGGGACGGTTTGCAGCCAAGTGTGAAGCGGCTGGGATGAGAATCAGCACCTCCAAATCTGAGGGCATGGTGCTCGACCGGAAAAAGGTGCCTTGCACTCTTCAGGTGGGTGGGGAGGTCCTTCCTCAAGTGGAGGAGTTCAAGTATCTCAGGGTCTTGTTCACGAGTGAGGGAAGGATGAAGCGTGAGATTGACAGGCGGATCGGTGCAGCGTGCGCAGTGATGCGGTCGCTGTATCGAACCGTTGTGGTAAAGAGGGAGCTGAGCCGAAAGGCAAAGCTCTCGATTTACCGGTCAATCTTCGTTCCCTCCCTCACCTATGGTCATGAGCTTTGGGTAATGACCGAAAGAACAAGATCGCGGATACAAGTGGTCAAAATGAGCTTCCTCCGCAGAGTGGCTGGGCGCTTCCTTAGAGATAGGGTGAGGAGCTCAGTCACACGAGAGGAGCTCGGAGTAGAGCCGCTGCTTCTTCACGTCAAGAGGAACCAGTTGAGGTGGCTCGGGCATCTGTTCCGGATGCCTCCTGCACGCCTCCCTGGGGAGGTGTTCCGGGCAAAACCCAGGACACGCTGGAGGGACTATGTCTCTCAACTGGCCTGGGAGCGCCTTGGGGTCCCCCCAGACCAGCTAGAGGAAGTGTGTGTGGATAGGGAAGTCTGGGCGTCTCTGCTTAGACTGCTGCCCCCGCGACCCGGCAACGGATGAAGCGGAAGAAGATGGAATGGAATGGATCCTGGGAACCACACAGAGTGGACTGTGATCGGCTCGGCCGATGTTTCCTGTATTGCACAGTAACAATACACTTTCAAAATCAGAGCCAGATGTGCTTCATTATAACAAATATGAAACCTTTCAAACCATGTGTTTGACCTTGAGAGAAATTTCTTCACATGGACATTCCATTCAATTCAATGTATTTTTGTGTAACCCTAAAGCATAACAATAGTTATCTCAGAGGACTTTACAAAGGTGTTGATTTGCCAACACAGATCAGAGAATCAAACAGTTCAAACTAAGGAAATGCAATGATAACAAACACATAGAGCATCCGTAGAGCACGTGCGTGTTTGTGTACATTAGCCAATATGGAGCCAAGCCTCTGGAAACAGCCGAGTCACAATCAGGCTCGGTGTTGTGTGAAAAAATGTTACGTTGCTGCTTATATTACTGTTACTCACTTGCCCATCATCGTATAAAGCCCGCCCTGACAATCTGATTGGTCCGGTAAGATCTTGGTCGGAGAAGTGACAGACCGAACTTGGAAAATAATGTAGGCTGCACCCAAGCAGCTCAAGTCAATATCAAGTATCAGAACAAAGCACTCACACACTAGCCTGGTCTTATCATACCATCATACTCATTTCATCTCGTGCCTAGGTCTGGATTTGCTCAATTGAACTTTGTTAAAGCTGCACTAACTGACTTTGAGAAATTTTCGAATGTGAGTGCTGGGCTCGCTTTTTTTGCTCGCCCTCCCCGCACCCATGGAGCTTTCGCCCCCCACAACCCCCCTCCCCTCAACCTGTGCTCACATGCTAAATGTATACGGAGCTCACGTCTCACAATATGGATCGCACATTTGAACGTGGATGGTGTGACCATAGAATGATAGAACCGGGAAGCGCGGAGAGGACTAGACTTTCTTTTGGATGGTTGTTTTGCTGTGTGAGCAGTAACCGGTAACAAAGACACGGGAAGTTTCAGGTTAGCCTCTGCCGCTTGTTTACCTCAGCTGTTTGTGCTATCCAGAGACCTGTTGCTTTTCTCAAGAAACACTTCCTTATTCTTTAGAAGTGTTTTTTATTCTTATTTTTATTATCTCTTTTTGACTGTTGCACTGAGCCAAAGCAATTTCCAAGTCTGTGACTTCCTGTTACTTACGTGGCAATAAAAATGATTCTGATTCTGATTCTGAAAGCGGGGGCCAGTGGTCCGCTGTGATTGGTCGCAATCTGGACCCGAAACACATTCTCTTCCTTGTTTCACAAAAACTCGATATAAAGTAAAATGACACGCCAGCACAAATCTGCGCTACTTTTTCTTTAAAAGGACGTATATCCCAATGCATTGCATGGATATGGATTGCATTTTCGTAATGAATACAAAAATATAGTCAGGTAATGCAGCTTTAACAGGTGGGAGGGGTTAACTCCTTTTGCAGATTGAAACGATTGGATCTGAGTTTGCTATGCCGTATGAAATGCGCCCGAGTGAGTGAGGTATCTAGCGTTTAGCCTAGCTTTAGCCATCTCCTTTTCCAATTAACAGAGCCTGTGGGGAGTAGAGCCACAAGATCTTTGCCACCAATGAAATTTGCTAAACATTCCCCTTGCTCTGGCTTTAACTAAAACAGATTGATGATCTTCACTTACCATTACCAAACAACAACCAGGAAACTCTTGACAGATTCACACGAGGTAACTGCAGCCACTAAGATCAGACCCAGACATGATAATTGCTACTCACACGCTGAAGTGATACAAGAAGCACTTCCATCCGGTCGGCCGCTCCAGGAAGTTGTAGATCTTTCCCTGGATGTTGTTGTAGGTGAAGACGCGGCGTTGGGTGGCGCTGTACACCGACATGCGCATGGACATTCTGGGATGGGAGACGTACGGGTGGACGTGGACCCCCGGCAGAGCCATGTTAGAGCTGTCGTCATCCCCTCGGCTCCTGAGGCGCTCCGGATTCAAGTTGTTCGAGGCGGACTCCGCCAACTCTAGATCCCCGGGTCTGTTCGCTCCCTGAGGTCCTGGGATGGACATTGTCACCTGTGGACAAGAATAGATGTTTAGATACAATTCAAACATGCTTTAAAGAAGACACATTATGCTAGTGCCATATAAACCGACTCGGACTCTGAGGAGCACAGGGACTGGCAGAAACAAAACCCTCAGTGCAAATTGCCCAGTATTATGTGGTATGTGGAGGGCAGAACATTGGTTAGCACTGTGATAGGAGACCTCTGGGAACACCAGGTACCACAGTGGGGCGGCTGTAAAGTGCCAAACTGTGGTTGCGTCTTAGGGAAAGACACTTTCATCACATTAGAATGAGTCTGGTGTGTGTGACTGGTTGGTGGTGGTGAAAGGGGCTGATGGGACAGTGGCTACACTAGTTTTTTATCACCACTGTGTTCCGAATGAAAGAAAAATGACATGTGATGCATCTTTGAGTGTCTTGAATCATTTTTTGTTGTTATGTTCATTTGTTTGGATATATATTGTACTGTAATTATATTGCAATGCCTTGTATTGTGTATGAACTGTGCCATACACATAAACATTCCATGCCTTTCCTATGTTGCCGTTGACTTGTGCCAAATGAACACGACCAAGACCTCAAAAATAAGTTCATTTGATCAGAATGATTCTCTAAAAGCATTCAAGTAGCATTTACCTTTAATTTTGCTATGATATTGTGTGACTACAATCCAGTTGAAAATATCCCTGCATGAACATTTGGCTTCATAAACACAGCTTTTGTGAATGGACCTATTGCCAAATCATTTGCACAGCAGCTGTTTTCACTCTACCATGACCTTGCCTGTATGAACCTTATCAATGACAAATATTTGACAAACTTTAGCTTCCCAGATGGACGTAGAAAACGCTAAAATCAACTTAAATCTTCCATGCATCCATCCCCACTCTGCTGTGACATTGCCCTCACACTCACCTTGCCTTAAAGCGATTCTCCAGGTCTAACTTGAACTGTTAAGTTGCGACGTCTTGGCAGCTGGAGCTATCCATGTGCTCTTGTGGTTTTCGACTCCACACGCAGCACTGAGAGAAGAAGCTGGATTTAGAAGTGGCCCAAGAAATGGTTTGTGTTGCCCCCAGCCGGAGTGAGCGTGCTCTGGGCTGTCCTGTCCTCATCGGGCTCCAGCTCTGTCCTCTCCTGCTGCCGGGGTAGTAAACATGTGGGGGAAGGTTTCGGATCCTCCCATTCACAGAGACCATTCATAGCCCCACAAACATGCATGCAAAAACACACACACATACACAAGCGAGATAAGTTATTTTAGAAGTACAGTTGTATAGTTTTCAGACCATTCATAGCCCCACAAACATTCACGCGCACACACACACACACACACACATGCACACGCACACACAAATACACGCGCACATAAGAGAGAGAAGTTCTTTTGTAAAGTACTGTTGTAAAGTTTCCAGTCCCACAAGTCTCCACCCACTTGTGATTTGTCAAGAAAAAGATGGAACTCGCCGCTTGTAATTCTGGTCTGTGTATTGCAGCAGTTTTTGCACATTGATTTCTCAGACAGGTGCAGAGGGAGATGCATGTGTAATCAGTAAATGATCAGATTTCAAAATGTTCATTAGGTCTTGGTTAAAAACTGTGTTAAAACACCTCATCATTAAATCATGTTCTCTCTCAGCTTTGTTTTGCTCTAGTAGCTGTTAGTGAAGTGTAACATAACAATGATATGCAATAATATGAACTATTATCAGAATGTGCAATATAGAACCACAAGTGTCCACACTCACTTTGTCTCAGAGCCTCATATTGTGATGACATTCACATGTCATTATTCTTTCACTCCAAATACGGCGATGATGCTCTACTATTGCTGCTACAACTGCCCTGGGGCACACTGACAGAAGCGAGGCAACCAATATGTGCCCTCCACCATCGATCACTCCCACACAAAAACAGTTTCGCACTTTACAGCCGCAGTTGCCCCACTTTTGGCACCTGGTGTTCCCAGTGGTCACTCAGCACTGTACTAACCAGCCCCTGCCCTGCTTAGCTTCAAAGGTCTGACGAGATCTGGCTGTCGCATGCAGTGTGCTGTGGTTCACCTTATATAAACCTGAAGGTGAACAACAGGACCAGCAACATGGAGAAGAACGGAGGACACAGATGCCCCCAGTCCCACTGCTACTAACGCTAACCCAGATACAGAATCTTTGTTGGCTCACAATTCCCAGATCATGGAGCAATATATCTAGATTTTTATTATTAATAGTTATATACCTGTGGTTCTTACAGATTCAGATTAATTTTATCCACCATTTGCAGTAAAACTGCATCGGAATACAGGTGCAAAAACTCCAATTGAGAAATATATTCCTCCGTCAAGGGATTTTGTATTTGGAAGGCAGTTTTTTTGTAGCTGTGATGGCTCCCATTCAAAATAATGGAAATCTGGAAAAAATCCCCTAACACAGTTTCAGTGTTTTCTCCGCTTTTATTATAATGTCATTGCCTAGAATGAGTCTGGTGAGTTTGTCAATGGTTTGCCAATAGGACAAAGATATATTATCTTGTATTAAAAATATACCTGAAAGGTCTCCCTTGGAATGAAATAATAATAATAATAATAATAATAATAATTAACCCTAACAGTTCATGAAATAAGACTACATGCCTTTGTCCCATTGGCAAATCTTGTTTTAACACAGTAGGAAAGTGCTCAGATTAGGATAAAAACCACTCAATTAAAGCAATTAATTACCACATATTTAATCATTTATTTGCTGTTAAACCAGTAATACGCTATTCCTTTTTTGGCTCTGTCTGCCGTCCTACGTGGAGCTGAGGACACTTCCACTATCTCCATGTCCTAAAAATAGTGTTGATTGGAGGTTTTCGTTTTGTGCTGAGTGCGAACAGGCCAGTCGTGTTTGTGGACGGTGGCTCATTACGTGACAGACGCAGGCGCAAGCTTCACAAAGACATCAGCAAAGACAGAAAACGCTGACGTTGGAAATGAGTGTGTGTGGTTTCTCAAAGGATCTTCAGAACAAGGAACTTTGATTTCTCTTCATTCGTCTAAACACCTGCGCTGAAGGAGATAAGTCGACTTTGTGGTGGCTTTTTCTGTCTCGTGGATTATTGGCCCCGCTCCGGTTTCTCCAATTATACTCAAAACATCAGAAAAAATACAGCTCGGGTGTAAAAAGTGAAGTAAAGTCACTGAGAAGTAAGTCAAAAATTGGAGTACATTCAGACTGCCAATGGGACAAGGCAAACTTATCTTGTTTTAAAAAGAAGAAATGTCTCCCTTAAAGAAAATAAAAATCTCAAAACAAGACTAAATGGTTTTGTCCTATTGGTAAATCCTGTTCTAAGACAGTCAGAAGGAACTCAAATTAAGATAAAAAACACTTGATTCATATTTTATCATCTAATGCAGTGTGGCGGCTCAATGCAACTACTGAATAGGCTGTTCCATTCTGGTAACTATAGTAACTGTTAAATGTCAGATTTTTTAAATTGTATTTCTTTTGTGCCAGAACATATCAAATATGGTGTAATTCTTTTCTCATAAAGGTTCTTAGAAGTGGTGACTATATTCAAAAACGTATGCATGATGTTGGTCAGTTGAAAGTACTTGCAGACATGAGAATAATAGGGTTTGGGAATAACATTCTCATCCCGTTTGTCCATTTTCTGGGTCACAGGGGCGAGTAAAATACCACATAAATAGTCCAAAATGTGATATATATGTATATTTGCCCAATGAGTTGTATTGACACCTGCCTCCAACAAAAATACAAGAAGCGAGAAGGTCCTGGGTTGGATTCCACCTCAAGGTTTTTCTGTGCAGAGGTTTTTTCCTATGTCTGTATAGAATTCCTCCAGGTGCGCCGGTTTCCCCTACCACTAAAAACACATACAACAGGTCTGAATATATTGAGTGAGTGAATGGAGGGTGTTTGGGCGGAGGCTTTGATGGTCCAGTGTGTTCGGCGTCTCACTTCTGCCATCACCGTGTGGAGAGAATGGACCATTATCAGGACTTTCAACGGTTGTAAAGCGCTTTGGGGGACCTTGGTGTGTAGTGCTAAATAAACATTACTTTCACACACAGACAGGCTGGTGGGGTAATATTATGTATGTCTAGTGTAGAAATAGCGTCTATAACTACTGAAACTGAAGATGGATGCGTACAAACTTAATAGTGAAAATTATGGCGCATTTGGCCAACTCCAACTCGCTTTCACAAAGATAATTAGCAAATTATCTTTTTAAAATATTATACAAGAAAGACACTGCTTCCAAGAATCCTCAGTAAGGTAATTCTAAAAATAGGTAGAAATGTACCTTGTGGCAGGAAGTACTAGATAGATGTCCTGAGGCTGAAGCAGCTCCTCGGCTTCAGCCTCGGGACACATCTTACAAACGGCATTTTGAAACAATTTCAGTTCCTGTTCTTTATTTTTCTTGGTTTCTGCTTTGGACACGTTCACACTTCATACTGTATGAACTCAGGAACAGGGCCTCAGACCTATTTTCAAGGAACTATTTGAAGACTCCAGTTTGGACAACACTGAAATGAAGAAGTTCTGTAAGAAAGACATTCTTTAAATGTCAGTTCATTATGTCATGTTTGTATGTTTAAGGCTTAGAAAGTTCTTTCAATAAGATAAAAGTGTAAAGAAGCTAGTAATGTTTAATTACCTGACTTGTTTCAGAGGCAGATCCCTCCTCCTGTGGTTTCTGGAGAAGTGAGTCTCATGTGTGAGCCTTGTCCCTGTTGATGGTGCGTGTGAAACCCGCTTGCTGATTTTGATTCTCGGATCCATCTTTTGTGCTCACTTTCTTCTGTTCCTGCTTTTTTGCATTGTCCCAGGTTATTATGTGATTTTCCTCTTTTGCAGTACTAAGATTTTGCTGATTTGAGGTTTTTCTGTGTAGCCTTTTCCTTGCTGCTTCTCTCTTTCACTACTGCCGCACTGCACACGATTAACCTTTTCCTGCAGCAGTGATTGGGTTACGTAGTTGTGTCTAATGTAATCTGTAGAAATCTTTTTATCCATCCATCCATTTTCTACCCTTTAATCCATTTCTGGGTCACGGGGGTGGCAATCAGAGATGCCACCCAAGTCTCATAGCACCAGCCCCCCACTGACCCTCTGCAGGCGGTGAGTCCACAGGAGGACGGCTGCTCTCTGAGTGTGAGCATAGCCTTGATCTTTCAGTGGGGGCTTTGGGCAATATATATATATATATATATATATATATATATATATATATATATATATATATATATATACATACATATATATTTATTTAAAACAAGGCAACAATACATTTTTTTTTTTTTGCATCTTGTAATGGAGTGTGGAATGTGCTTGTTTGGCTCCTTGTAAAACCCACACATGTGAAATGAGTCTGTAACATGAGTCTACACTGGTATGTGAGGTCAGAGGTCAACACGGTTTTGGTTTGTGTTGTAATATAGTTAGGGATTTCTACTATCTACTACAATCGCTCAGTATGCTGGACATCAACAGCTTTTTACCATCTGAAGAACATTGCCAACGTTAGAAATATAGTGTCTAAAGCAGACTTGGAGATTCTTATCCATGCATTTGTCTCCAGTAGGTTAGACTACTGCAATGGCCTGCTCACAGGTCTGTCCAAACAGGCTGTAAAACAGCTGCAGTACATTCAAAATGCAGCAGCTCGAGTCCTGACTCGAACCAGGAAGTACGACCACATTAGTCCAGTCCTCAGGTCTCTGCACTGGCTTCCTGTGGCTCAGAGAATAGACTTTAAAACAGCTCTGCTTGTGTAGTATCTCCATGGGCTTGCGCCAAAATATATTAGAGATATGTTAGTCCCATATGAACCGACTCGGACTCTGAGGAGCACAGGGACTGGCCTCTTGTTGGTGCCCAGAATGAGAACCAAACATGGGGAGGCTGCGTTTCCGATCCATGCAGCTAAAATCTGGAACAATCTCCCTGAAAATGTGAGAGAGGTGTCTACTCTGTCAATGTTAAAGACTGTTCTGTTTGCCTGTGCATAATACAAGGATTTTATCTCCATTCCTAATGCACTGTGGTTATTTTGTTATTTTTTTTAATTCCTTGTGTAATTTGAAAGTTTTAATGGTTTTAATCTTTTGTGTGATTTTAATGTATTAATTGTGATTCTGGTGTTTGTTTTATGTGATGATTTGTGATGTGGACTGTGAAGCGCTTTGTGTTGCCCTGTGTATGAAAGGCGCTCTACAAATAAACTTTGATTGATTGATTGATGCGCAGCTAAACAGAACTGCTTTTAATTTAAACTGGATTTGCACATTGTCAGAGAAGTGAAATACAGTATATATTTAACAATTTTCTGCCTCCTTGACTACCACATCAGGCCTGGAAAATACAAATCGGTCAACCCCTTATTCCATGTTTGCCTCCTGAAGTTTCCATAATATCACTTTGACAGAGGTATAAAATATGAACCCAGCAGGGAGGCCTCGCTCTGTTCAGAGTGAGCACTGACCTTGGATCAAGACACAGATGAGGAGATCTGCAGTTGGGCGTGTGGAAGGACGGGTGGGGGCAGTAGCAGCAGGTGATGACAGCTCTTGTTGCCACTGGATATTAAAAGTGCCTCGCTCCAGCTCTTATTAGTGCGGTCGTGATACTGTATCATGCTCAATGTTATTAGTCTAGAAATGCAACTTCTCTCTCCACACACACTTCCTGCGGCTCAGTCGGGGGAATCCTGAGGTGTTCCCAGGCCAGAATGACGTCCCGGGAGGCGTCCGGGGAGCCTACAAAAAAAATGCTTGAGCTGCATTAGCGGGTACCGCTCCAGACAGAGAAGCGGCGGCTCTACTCCAAGCTCCTCCCGTGTGACTGAGCTCCTCACCCTATCTCTAAGGGAGCGCCCAGCCACTCTGCGGAGGAAACTCATTTCGACCGCTTGTATTCGCGATCTCGTCCTTTCCAATAATGCAGCTTTGCAGTGTGTCTGTGTTCAGAGACCTCCCACAGACTGTTGTACGTGTTCACGGAGGTGCGCAATAAGTTTACTTTATTATTAAACGGTACTTCCGCATCGGCAAACACGCTCGAAGCAGTTGGATAAAGTCACGGGAGCATGAAAACGCATATGTTCACAAGCACAGAGTCCCCTATTGTCAACCCTGGTTCAGTGCTGATGTAGCTCCTGTTTTGACTGTTTACAGTATGTTCTGTCTGCTCGCTCAGACCGCTAATGTCCTCGTGACCACTTTGCGGCTCTCTGATTGGTCTCTGTACGAACGTCCGAGGAAAAGTTCAGCAATGTTTATCTCCTGCGTGTGTCAATTTTCCGCTCCTGCTCCTCCCCTTCGACTTTCCCGTGCAGTCTGTGCGTCTCTATTGAGCAGTCCGTGCGTGCATTGCAAGACGCTCGTGCGTTTTGACACTCGAACGCGCATCACCATTGACTTTGCATTGAAAGCAGACACAACGCATGATCCGGTCTGAACGCGGCATAAGGCTAAGGTTAACCCATATCATTGTCATTTTCAACTCACAGTAAAAAGGGCAAGATATTAATGCAGTTTTTTTTTTTTTACTTAAATGCTAGTAAACAACTTAGACAAAGTTATAGTTAAAAAATACATAAATCCTGGTGCCTTCTTTCACGTGACATCGTCATCTTCCTGTCGCTTCCAAGGGAAAACATGGCTGACGCAAACCACCCCTTTCATACATTTAGAATAATTTTTTCCCCCAAACATATTATAATTATTTGATCATTCAAGTCTCAAGTGTAACCCTCTATCAAAACATTGTATATTTTTTGAGTTTTGGATATGTTTATGTGCGCCGCAACTTTAGTTGCCGGTGGGCACATACAGTATGATGTCACTAAAGGAAAGGAAACCTCTGCCTGCAGCATTGCCCATAATTTACTTATTTCAAATTGCAGAATGGTGTACAATGGCTAATTTTAATCCTCTTAGATAACTCTTCACATATAAGAAAGGTATTCAAAGGTATTCAAAGCCTGTGTCTGTAGGATTTGATTTGTTTACATACATAATTTTCTTGCTAGCTGTGCTAGCTGCTAAGCTAGCCAATGTAGTTCACGATGTAAATCAATCGTGTAAGGCCCTGTCCACACGAAGTCAAGCTCAGGCCTAAACGCAAAAATACTTTATCAATCCAGTGTGTCGTCCATACGAGGCCGGCGTTTTGGGGGGTTGTAAACGAACATTTTTGAAAGTAGGTCCCAGAGTGGAAAGATTTCAAAACTCCGTATATGCCGCTCCGTGGTTACTGCCTCTCCGCAATGTATCTGAGACGCTTGCGTCATCGCCCCGCCTCTTGTTAAAGCACGCATGCGCCGCACTCAGAAAATAATGACAACAACAATGTAGCTTGTTGTTTTGCAATCCAGTGGGACCCGAAGCAACAGTTCAACCACATCGTCCGTCCATACTAATGTTGTACCAGCTCGCCCACTTGCCATGTTGTCTGTTTACAAAATTCTGCGAATGCCCAGTTCCCGTCACGGAAGTTTGGGCTTGATCCCGTCATTGCGTCACAGCGCCACCAACAGGTCTGGCATAGTTTCACAGCGTTTTCAGGCGTATTGACTGCATTCATATGGACGCACACATTTACTGAGCTAACTCCGTGTTTACAGAAAAAGTTTTTGAAATTATAAGCGTTTTGTCTTCGTGTGAATATAGCCTAAGTTGACGCTTTGACGCTGTGGCTGACATCACAGTTGTGCCTTAGTCAGTGAAATGAACGCGCATGACACAGACTGTAACAGTGACCAATCTGATGATGAGGCTACTGGCAACCATAACCGCCTCCCATCGAGATTACTGAAGGGTCAAGGTTTTCTACCTAATTTAGACATGCCACTGCCAAGTCCCCCCGATGCTGCTCCTAGGTGCTCATCCTCAGCCCCCCCCCACCACAACCCCTCCCAGTCAGATCTTTGAGCCCCTGCTCCAAAAAACCAAGAACGAACGAAGACAGGAAACACACAAAAAATCAAGATTTCAGCAAAAGCACCAGCAAAAACCAACAAACAAACCAACAGATCCTTGTAGTTCCGCCATGCTCCACCAGAGGTCTGATATAGAGATATGCCTCGAACTCGCGGGGCATCCGCCATACTGGAGGACAAGCAAACGCTGTATGATAGTGGCGTGCACCCGGGACCGCATAAACATGTTCAAAATGTTTGCAGTTTTTGGCTGCAGCAAAAGGAGAGACAGGGAAAATAAGTTGTGTTACCGACTGCCAGCCGTCCTTACTTCACACGGCTCAAAAACAGAAGACATCTCAAAGAAACGAGAGAGAAATGGCACAACCATACGCAACAACAATAGACTGTAGCTTAGCTTGTAGCATAGCTGTTATATATTTGGTCTCAC